CACCACCAAGCAAAATGTTAAGAATTACACCCTGTTCCAAATTATTATGCAAATGATATTTTTCTCATTTACCTAAATAATTGATGTAAATAACAGTCAGCATAATTCTCAGGTTATCAACTATTAAGAGTACAATTCACATTTTATTGAACAAACCTCCTAATGATAACAGTATTTTTTTTAAACATAAAACACTTACAATGCACTGTTCCAAATTATTCCGCACAGTAAGTTTCAAAACACTTTATAGGTTGTAAAGAAATGAAAATTGTCATTTGTTGTGTTTGCAGCGTATTTACTGAAATCAAAAGCTATTTCAATCAAACTTTTAACAACATTTTAACTTTTTAAACATTTTAACAGGTCACATTACATTGTAACATAGGACCCCTTATTTGATAGCAGCTTCACAAGTCTTGCATCCATTGAACTTGTGAGTTTTTGGACAGTTTCTGCTTGAATTTGTTTGCAAGATGTCAGAATAGCCTCCCAGAGCTGCTGTTTGGATGCAAACTGCCTCCCACCCTCATAGATCTTTTGCTTGAGGATGCTCCAAAGGTTCTCAATAGTATTGGGGAGGATGGAGGCCACACCATAACTTGCTCTCCTTTTATCCCCATAGCAGCCATTGATACAGAGGTATTCTTTGCAGCATGAGATGGTGCATTGTCATGCATGAAGATTGTTTTATTACGGAAAGCATAGTTCTTCCTTCTGTACCAGGGAAGAAAGTGGTTAGTCATAAACTCCACATACTTTGCAGAGGTCATCTTTACACCTTCGGAGACCCTAAAGGGGCCGACCAGCTCTGTTCCCATGATTCCGGCCCAAAACATGACTCCACCACCGCCTTGCTGATGTCGCAGCCTTGATGGAACAGGGTGGCCGTCCACCAACCATCCACTACTCCATCCATCTGGACCATCCAGGGTTGCACGGCACTCATCAGTGAACAGGACTGTTTGAAAATTAGTCTTCATGTATTTTTCTGTCCAATGCAGCCATTTCTTCTTGTGAGCATTGGTTAGTGTTGGCCGAATAGAAGGTTTATGCACAGTTGCAAGACTCTGGAGGACTCTACACCTTGATGTCCGTGGGACTCCAGAGGCACCAGCAGCTTCAAATATCTGTTTGCTGCTATGTAATGGTATTTTAGCAGCTGCTCTCTTGATCCGATGCATGGATCTGGCAGAAATCTTCCTCAATGTGCCTTTATCTGCACAAACCCGTCTGTGCTCTGAATCAGCCACAAATCTCTTAATAGTGCGATGATCACGCTTAAGTTTTTGTGAAATATCTAATGTTTTCATACCTCGTCCAAGGCATTGAACTATTTCACTCTTTTCGGCAGCAGAGAGATCCTTTTTCTTCCCCATATTGCTTGAAAATGGTGCTCTGCCTATTAATGTGGAACACCCTCCTTTAGCAGTTTTTCCTTAAATTGGGCTCACCTGCCAATCTTATTATCAGAGGTGTCCGAGATTGTTTTCAGTGATCAAAAGAGCCCTGAGACACAATGCCATCCATGAGCTAAACTAAAAAACAAAATATTTAATCTTTGTGACACTTAAATAGAATTTGTGTAATAATTTGGAACAGGGTGTAGTTTGAATATAAAGTATCCAGGGATTTCAGACCTTCTCAAACCTCAAGGAAGTATCCTTCAATACATTGACCATTTTTTCACCAAGTTTATCACCGCCAGATCCATCATGGATATCTCCCAAGAAGTAACAATCAAGATTTTGGTCGCTAAGAACATAAAGCATATTCATTTTTGAGTATGTTTGGGAATCCCTTCAACTGGTTCGTTAAGAAGGGTAACACTAGGGTTTTTGACAATGTTCACCATAGTAACTGAGTAAATGAGGTCGTGATTTCTCATCCAAAAGTGTTTGACCATAGAGAACGTCCACAGCATGTGGTACATTGTTCCCACCTGACCGCATCCCCAGAAACAAAAAATGAGGAATCAGAACATTATTGAGAGGTGATCAAGTACCAAATACCAGTGGGATAATACTTTGTAACAGGGCTGAATAGGTACAACATTCATAATACCTTTACATGTTCTAGAGGACCAGTTCCTCCATTCCTCTTCATCAATTTCTACCTAAATGCTTTTCCCATGAAATCATATGGGCAAGTTTACTTGTAGTAACAAATTGCTTATGTAATACTGAGATACCACCCCTCTGAACCTCATCACGGAAACACCTGTTTTCATACATTGTTCTCAGTGTAATGTCACTGGTTGTCTGATGAAGCGAGCATAATAAATGTAAAAGTTGTTTTGACTGGTATAACTCGGTATGCGGCAACTCAAGTTGTAGGGTGAAGTAGGATACCCCAATGGTCAAAGAAATGGCCTATGTGGTAAAATACTTTATTTAGCCACCACTGAAATTCACGTGGGAATGCTGGATTATTAAATAACAGCCCGACGGCAGTGTGAGGGGACCAAAGCAGAATCAGCTTGCAAGAAGAATCCTATAGGTGTAGGTAGTGGGACAAAGGATCCTTTTCTATTGCTTTGGGAGGACCGACATCATAAAATCTATGGGGGGGGGGGGAACAAGTCTACACCTCTAAATCTATCTATTCTGGTCTCTAAAATCTGTAGTAAATTTAGGTCAATTCAGTTAGCTGAGCTGCTCTATATAATATTTCCTAAGATCTGGAACTTCCAACCCTCCAGACTCCAGCAGCATATAAAGCGTATGATGCATTACCCAATTACCTCTGGGGCCCCAAATGAATTGTAACAACTGAGATTGAAACTTATGAAGATCCCTTAACTGGAACACCAACAGGCAAGGTTATAAAATAATATTGAATTTTAGGTAATAGCACCAGTTTAACATACGCAATCTTCCCCATCCAGGATATAGAGTTGAAGTTCCACATCTCCACCTCCCTTATCACATGTTCAAAAAGATGTGAGTAATTTGCCTTGTAAAGTATCGCTATGTTGGAGGTCAATCTAATCCTCAAGTAAGGTAAGGAAACTGATTGCTACACAAACGCATACTGAGATTTAATACTTCTCAAGACATCCTTATCCAAGTTAATGTTAAGGGCTTCTGAATTTTCCCCATTCACCATAAGGCCAGAGATCTTCCCAAACTGACAGAGAAGATCTAACAAGGTCGGTAGAGAGGTATGTGGAGAAGTGAGTAAGAGCAGCAAGTCATCAGCAAACAAAACATATTTGTGTTGTTTATTTCTGCTCTCCACACTGTTATTCTCTAAATAAACACTGGAAATATAGGGCAAAGGTTGTTTATTACCTGATGACAATGACAGAGAAGACTGGGATAGAAGTGACAGGGTAGGACAAGCTAGGACCTGGGAAGCAATAGAGTCAGAGTGTATTGGTTCAGTAAGGCAGTAGCAGAGAAAACCGTGATGGTGTACATGGGTGGGGATGCACCTCTGCTGCTGGTTTATGCCCTGGAGAGCATGGAGATCAGATCATGAAAGAATAGAAAAAAGATGAGGAAGGATGCAACTGGAGAGGGCAGATGCAGTGGAGCAGGCCACAATGGTCAACCCAGTATGGGGGTGCAGTGAATGAACAGAGAAGAGTATCCAAGCTCACCCTAATTCTGATCCTGGTATACATTTTGGGCAGATGCTTGCCCTGCTTGTACCCATTGCTAATGCTATGCTTATTTTCTAAATGAATGCTGGAAAATGTAGCACAAAGGTTTCTGGGTTCCCAGCCCTCAAACACAATGACAGAGAAGGCAGGGGTGGAAGTGGCAGGCAGAACAAGCTAAGACCAGAGAAACAGTAGAAGAGGTAGTGATGGGTCAAGGCAACAATAGCAAAGATGACCATGAAGGTGGTGATGTGGTGGGTGAAGGGCAGGATATAGATGCACCTTTACTGTTAGTTTGCTCTGGAGAACATAGAGATCAGACCATGAAAGGACTGCAGAGAGAAGAGAAAGGATTCAGCTGGATGGAACAGGTGCAGGGGTGCAAGTCATAAAGGTCAATCCATATGGATAGCAATAAGAGAGCAAAGCACAGATGAGAGCAGGCTATGCTGTTGTGCGGTTAGCAGAGATGAAAGGCGACGAAGGGACAACTGACATACGTAAATAAGAACTTGAAGGAGATGGGACAGAACATATATTTTTGCAGTTACAACAAACAAACCCAAACTGTATTACACAGGTCTGAAAGTTCGAACTCAAGACACAGCAAGTCACCTTTCTGAGCTTGATAACTGCAAGCCCATGCACATTTGTACTTGAGCTATATAGTCAATTTATACAAATCTGAGGCTTGGAGACTCAACATCATGGTTACAAAAAAACCTGCTTCTAAGCAAAGCAAGCAACATTATCTGTGGGTAGTAAACTCATAGGTGTAGTTCAGTTTCCCATACACTAATATCAACAAGTGAGATTTTGAACTCAGGACCTCAAAGGTCCCTCTACAGGATGAGTCACTAGGTCTGTGACCAATACCTGGAAGTAAATACACATTTCAGCTTGATTTACTCAGACAATGATGGAAACTAGGAATCATAGGGGCTTGATCTCTAGAACTCAGCGCTTTAAAACTGTTATTTTATAGGTTGATTCACTGTAATCACAGCTAAAATTTATTATGTTCAGCGTGTTAAGTGTGCTGTGGAATGCATGGTGTATAGGAACACTGATATGGGACAGTGGCTCATATAAATGTAGGAGATGAAATATCTTGCACATAAAGCATGTGAAGTGGAGAAGCAAATGGCAATTCATCCAGTTCTTTTGTAAATGTTTTGACTAGGGGTTGTTGTAGTGCAAAGAGAGTAAAGGAGGGCCAATGAAGTTCTCGAGGCAAGCAGTGAAGAAAAGGACATGGAGTAAGTTATAGGGCAAACAATATGATCATAGAAAAAGTACATATGTGGAGGAATTAAAGACATTAATAGTTCTGCAAAACAAAAGGGGGAGTAGAAGGTCTGATAACTACTCCGCCTCTCACAACTGGTCACTCCCTATGCCCTATGGACCAGGGGTTAATCCTCTGCATTGTGTAAAAGGGCAGTTTGATCCTGTCTTCTCTGCTCCTCCTCTTGTTTAAATGTCCACGTCTTATCTCCTGATAAGACAGACTGAACCACTTAGCCATTCTACACATGTTCAGTTTAGTGTGTATTGGTAGAGAGGTTTTTTTTTTTTCTTGGGAGAATGCATGTGATCAGCACAGGCCCAATCAGCACTGTCCAGAGGTCAGGGGTTTTGCATCCTCCTAGAGCAGAAAGAAAACTCCTACAAGCTTTAACCAGTGCTCTGCTGAAAATTGATAGAAGTCCCAAAACTGATCTAACTGAGGATGAGTATATGAGAGGTGAACCTGAGGTTTATCTAATGAATGCCAAACATCACTAAAGTGCAAATTTATATAGGAGAAAGCAACCCCCCTAGGTAGGACTTTAAAGGCATCACCAAAATATATAAAAGTTACATCAGTCTTTACTGAACAATAAATATTAGGTTAATATTAGCCATAAAACATTAAATAGGCAATAGTATATTCAATAATTACAATGGTACCATACAGAATTATGTTGTCATAACAAAGTTTCTAAATGGCACCCAACGCGTTTCAGAGTAAGTTTACTCCTTCTTCAGGGTAAAAACTCTTTGCATGAGACATATGGCCTCTACAGACTGAAAAACATGTAACATTAGGTGTGTGACCAAGTCCATGACCCCTCCCCAGGCCGCATCCAGACAAACATCAACCGGGCCAGGGCCCCCCAGGAGAGCACTGAGGCCGCACCTATAGCCACAGAGGAAAACATTATATAAAAAGTGGTGGCGTGGCTTTCTGTTGCGGACTTTGGTGTTCAGGGATCTCTTTCCCCTTATGGGTTTGCATTCCATCTTTCCCTGCACCTTGGCCGTTTTGTGCGTGTCGGTGGCTCACCGATCCAGGACGTCATCCCGCAAGTTTGGCGAGGTGACGGCATGCACCGACGTATCTGGGGCAGGGTCCGGTACCCAGAGGTGAAGGAGCGGCTTACGCTCTGGCGTTTAGCGCCATCTCTGAATGAGGGGTGGGGATCCAATTTAAATGCATAATAGTGGGGAATTACAGTGAAGGAAATAAGTATTTGATCCCCTGCTGATTTTGAATGTTTGCCCACTCACAAAGAAATGATCAGTCTAAAAATCGAATGGTAGGTGTATTGTAACACTGAGTTACAGAATAGCAACAAAAAATTCAAAAGAAATGCATGTCTAACAAATTATGCACTTATTTGCATGTTCATGAGGGAAATAAGTATTTGATCCCCTTCACAAAACATGACTTAGTACTTGGTGGCAAATCCCTTGTTAGCAATCACAGAGGTCAGACGGTTCCTGTAGATGTGTGCAAACCTGGTGGCCAACTACAGGAACCGTCTGACCTCTGTGATTGCCAACAAAGGATTTGCCACCAAGTACTAAGTCATGGTTTATGAAAGGGATCACATACTTATTTCCCTCATGAACATGCAAACATGCAGTGCATCATTTGTTAGACATGCATTTCTTTAGAATTTTTTGTTGCTATTCTGTCTCTCAGTGTTACAATACACCTACCATTCGATTTTTAGACTGATCATTTCTTTGTGAGTGGGCAAACATTCAAAATCAGCAGGGGATCAAATACTTATTTCCTTCACTGTAAATAGACCCCTCTACCTGATTCCACTCTCTCCTCTTGATGTTTGGATGCGAAGTCTGACTTGACCTCTTGTGGTCCTGCTGCTGGCTCTCCAGTTAGATAAATCGATGCTGCTCATTTGTTTTGCTTATGGCTCCATTTGGGGTTTAATATGCGACTATATGGCTATATATCCTATTGTGATTTCAATATGAGCTTATTACCTTTGTTTTGACACTCTTTTCAGGGCTTCTCTTGATGAGCTGTGATTTACAACACTGGAGGATATTATGGTCCATGGAGTTCTACCTCTTTACCAACTTTTTGACAATAGTGGATTTAATGTAATCTACATCTGCCTTAACAGTGGTGAGTGTTTCATTGTTTCATTAAATGTAATAAGTCATTATATACCTTTTTTTACATGTGATAATGATGTTATGATACTTTTTCTTTTGGCTATTTAATAGTTACTACTGTCACTTTTTACATAAAGTTTGCTTTTGTGGCTATCGGTGCAGCCTAAGTGCTCTCCTTGGGGGTTGATGCTTGTCTAGATGAGGCCTGGGTAGGGGTCATGGACTTGGTCACACACCTAATGTTTTTAATATGGTGGAAATTCAATCATTGATACTCTTTACTTGGTCTCTGTCACAGCAGGCTATATTATTTTTTTGACAATACTGTTTACAATTGTCAATATAATCACTGTATGACTATAATACATGTGTTTCAGTCCGTAGAGGCCATATGTCTCATGCACAGAGTTTTGAACCTGAAGGAGGAGTAAACTTACTCTGAAACGCGTTGGTTGCCATTTAGAAACTCTGTTATACTGACATAATTCTGTATGGTACCATTGTAATTATTGAATATACTACCACCTATTTAATGTTTTACGGTTATTATTCACCTATGTTCAATAAAGATTGATGTAACTTTTATATATTTTGGCGATGCCTTTAAAGTCCCACCTAAAGGGGTTGCTTTCTCCTATAAAACTTCTGATGAGAAAAGGCATTTAGCAGTTTACAGTGGGGCAGAAAAGTATTTCGTCAGCCACCAATTGTGCAAGTTCTCCCACTTAAAAAGATGAGAGAGGCCTGTAATTGGCGGCATCATAGGTAGACCTCAACTATGAGAGACAAAATGAGAAATAAAATCCAGACAATCACATTGGCTGATTTGGAAAGAATTTATTTGCAAATTATGGTGGAAAATAAGTATTTGGTCAATATCAAAAGTTCATCTCAATACTTTGTTATATATCCTTTGTTGGCAATGACAGAGGTCAAACATTTCCTGTAAGTCTTCATAAGGTTGGCACACACTGTTGCTGGTATGTTGGCCCATTCCTCAATGCAGATCTCCTCTAGAGCAGTGATGTTTTGGTCTTCACCATAGTGGAGTTTGGAGTGTGACTGTTTGAGGTTGTGGACAGGTGTCTTTTATACTGATAACAAGTTCAAACAGGTGCCATTGATACAAGTAATGAGTGCAGGACAGAGGAGCCTCTTAAAGAAGAAGGTACAGGTCTGTGAGAGCCAGAAATCTTGCTTGTTTGTAGGTGACCAAATACTTATTTTCCACCATAATTTGCAAATAAATTCTTTCCAAATCAGCCAATAAGATTGTCTGGATTTTGTTTCTCATTTTGTCTCTCATAGTTGAGGTCTACCTATGATGCCAATTACAGGCCTCTCTCATCTTTTTAAGTGGGAGAACTTGCACAATTGGTGGCTGACTAAATACTTTTTTGCCCCACTGTATATTTACTAAAATAACTGAACTTCCATGTTGTGTGTACTGTGGGAGACCAGATATAGTAAATGTAGGGTCCTTATTAACACTTTTTTTTTTTTAATGACAAACAAAACTTTCTTTTCATTATACTGTCTTGCAACAATGCTTTTTTCCTGTAATCCTTAGACAATAAAACACAATAAAACTAAACACATTTGACTTTTTCTTTCTTTGAGCAGTATTAGTTTAAAAATAAAAAGTGCTACTGCATACAAAATGTGCACATTTGTTCTGTAATTTGTCTTGTTTAAAATGACATTAAAATTATGATTCCATTACAAAGCATTGCAAAGTTATTTACAAATGAAATGTTTGGGGCTTTTTTTAAATGGGAAATGTTTAAACTTGATAAACGTGAAAAATATTAACAAATCAAAAATGGTTAAATAATAATGGTTAAAGAGGAGTTCTGGACCCCCTCCCAAAAATTAAAAGTCAGCAGCTACAAATACTGTAGCTGTTGACTTTTAATACTAGGGCACTTATCTGTCCAGGGGATCCAGCGGGGTCCTCACCCCAAGCTGATTCTTCAATCGGCTGTCGGGTGCTGATACCGCTATCTTGACTAAGGGAAACCATGGGTGAAACCCTGCAGCTTCAAAGACAGTTTCCTGCGCATGTGTAAATTGCGTTACGCTTTATGTAAGGGTAACAGTCCTCTGGGACCTGTGAAATGTCCCAGAGGGCTGCATGGGGAAAGAGGGGGCCAAACCTCTGTCTCAGTTCGCCGTGGCGAACTGAACCTGAAGTGGGAGCGGGTACCTGTCAAAACCAAGTACCTGCTCCCCCCCAAAAGGTGTCAAATGTGGCAGCAGAGGGGGGGGGAGGAGGCAGATAAGTGGAGCTTCCATTTTTGGGTGTAACTCCACTTTTATAAATAGAAACAAACAAAAAATCAGCAGGAAAATAATAGTTGAGGAGAGGTGGAGAGTTAATAAGGTCTGAGTAAACTAAGGGTTATTAAGGGGTTAAACAGACATTTTTATCCATAAAAAAACACCTTTTTTTTTTTACTTCTCATGTTTCTTTAACTGACATCATTTGCATATCTATATTCATCCCTTTGATCTGTAGATGAATTAACAGAATTATACAAAAGTAACAATATTTTATGTACTTTGTACCTTTATATAATTGTACCTTATGCAGTGTTGTTTATAACCATGGATTCAGACTGCTTGTATGACACAATTTCTCTGAGTAAACAGTAAGACTACGTTCACACTGATCTGCTTTTCTACCACTTTTGCATTAAAAAAGTGTAAGAAAAAACGTGTGACCATGTATTCCTACGGAACTCTTCACACTGGTCCATTGTGGTTCCAGTGCTTTTTTCAAAGTCTTGCTTGCTGCATTTTTGGAGCAGGTTTGGTGCACTAAAAAAAAAAAAAAAAAAAAAAAAAAAAACCCACACACCTTCCTATTGAAATCAATGGAACTCGTGGCAAAAAACACATCTGCGTTGCATTTTTGGTGCAGATGAGTCACATGTCCTTTAAAAAATGCACCACGAAAACACGGCAAAAAATGCATCAGTGTGAAAGTAGCCTAATGCTGGCTTTGATTATTCAAAGCTGACAATTACTGTATTACTAGGAGGGGGTCTCATAGGCAGAGAGACTGGATGTGTTACCTGCATCCTGTGTACAATGATGAAGTCTGCAACTAGTTAAAGTGGTTGTAAAGGCAGAATTTTTTTTACCTAAATGCATTCTGTGCATTAAGGTAAAAGATCTTCTGTACTCAGCCCACACTTTCCTGAGCCTGATCTCGATCCAGCACTGTGTACGAGAGCAGCAACA